GAGCAGATCCACACTTGGTGCTTTTGTCTGGTGAAGCAGCAAACACGCATACCCACCATAGATTTGTGTTATGAAAGATAAAATTGTGTTGCCATCTTCGCCGACAAAAAAAGTGCTTTCAAAACCCCCATTTGGAAGCCAAGGCATCGAATTTAGAAGAGTGCTGTCACTGTTCATTCAGTGGAGAACAAGCCCAACAGTTATTAGTTATTTTCGGCTCCCTGTTGCTGACCTACTCAACATCCCTTCCACAACTCCAAAATCTTTCAATTTGCTCCCTCAATCTGATTATCTTACCCCTTAATTCTTCCTTTAACTCAAATATAACCCATTTTCCAGCTCTACTTTATGTTTCGCCTACTTAACTGCATTTTCTAGAAAATAACAAATAAGGTCCAGTTTGGTTGGTCATACTGCTTCAGTAATCTCGGATTCATACGCAACAATGGGAAGATGCTCTTGGAAAACTCATTACGGAAGTGCCAAAGTTATTTGTTTGCTTCTAACTTTTGTTTCGTTTTCTAGCTCCATCTTATGAATGTGATAGTGATAACTTATTCTCAAACTACCTATTTCCCTGTCCTTGATTGATCGAACTCTATTCATACCATATTTTACTTTGTCATTGTTTATTCTTATACTAAATTAAACGTACAAAACTTCTTGTTTTTGTATTTTCAAAGTAATAGAATTTGCTCTTGTTAACAATTATTTGTTACATAATTATCAAAATTGAACTATGAAGGGATTGATTCAACAATTTATTGGTTTAACCATGGTTGAACCGGTTTTATCGACAAAAAAAATTAGTATATAATAACCATGGAAGAAAGACGGTAATAGAAAGAGAAAATGTGGAATTTGGTTATATATATTTTTCATTATACAATTTGTTTGCAAATTAGTGAAAATGACCTAATTCTTCAGGTTTTTGATTAAAAAAAAATCTAATACTTAGTTGAAATTTCTTTACATGTAATTTTTATTTATTTTTTAGAATTATTTTTATATTTATTAAGTGAAATTTTTTTCTTATTTATAATGGAAAAGTGTATTTAATAAGTTTTTTTTTTCAGTTAAGGCTTCTTATGTGCCAGACAATTTATGAAATTTAAATTAAATGATAAATTAATAAGTGATTTATTGTATCATAACAAAATTTTAATAAAAAAAGAAAAAAGAAAAAAAGAAATAAGCTCATTCTTTAATAGATATACAAAAGTTAAGAAATTAGTTGTGAGAGTATGAAATATATATTAGAACCTTTTTTACACTTTAATCCTTAATATTTATACTTTTTTTATATAAGTTCTTAACATTTTAATTTCTTTAATTTACTATTAGATTATAGTTAATGTTTAGAAATTTAATCATTGTATAAAATATAATTAATTTGATAAATTATTATATATAATATTAGATTCAGATAGTTGTTATTAAATTTTAAATTTATAAAATAAAAACTGTACCAAAATATTCGGTACAATATTATTTAATACTAAAACCTATAAATTTTTTTAAAAAAGACTTAATTTTTAGTATGGTAAAATCCAATACGATTCAATTTGGTTGGACACGGTGTTGACAATCATGAACACCTTCTAATAAGAATAAAAATTAATTTCTTGAGAAATATTCATGAAAATGGCCTAGTGTGCGCACCTTTTGACTAAAGCAAATGGTGTACATGCATGTACCTTCATACAAGTTTCTGGCCATTGATTCATCCGAACAGCTCGGAATCAATTTCAAATGATAAATTGACTAGACAGTGTATTTTCAAACGCAGTAGTTTTCCATTTTGAAAATTGAAGCCAGTTTTGAGAAACATATTGATTAGAATGTTTTTCAAAATTCTTTGTTTGCAAGAAATATAAATGAATAATACACTAGACAAACTTTTGCCATTTTTTCTTCCACCGCGTCCCCACTAGTACTTTCGCTTCCGTTAAGAGTACACTACATTAAGCATCGTATAGGCATGGTCTTCTTGTTGAGACAAACTTGCATATTTGGTCAGTAAACTAACTAAATTTTCAATTTGTTCACAGTACTTCAATTTGTTCAAATTTATGCCCACTAAACTATTGAGCATTGCACAGCGTGGACACTTGATTAAATCTTTTGTAGCCTTTGATGGTCACTCTCTATTATTTACCACTAAATTCAAATTCTCATCTTAATTTCTATAACTACTATTATCTCTTTATAATACTTATAATACAGAATGACAAAAATAATAATTAGAAATTTTAGAATTTTTAATTTTATTTAATATTAAAAATGTTAGTACCGGAAATAAAACTAAAAGAATAAAGACAATGAAGATGATAATCAAGTACATACGACGTATATAGTAGGTAATTGAGGTTTGATTGGAAAGGAGGTGGAGATGGAGATGGCAACGGAGACGAACAATGACGATGTGGGAAGTCATTGCATTATCATAGCCACAACGAGATAAATGGTAAAATGGGGTTGTCATGGGTATGTGTGATTAGAATGATAAAATAGAATAAGATAAATTTATTTTATTTTATAACATATTTAATATGTATATAAATATTAAAAAATTTATGAGATAGATAAATATAAGTCTAAGAAGGATAATGTTATAGAATGAGAGATGTAATAATTTTATCAGTTCTTATTAAACTTCTTATTTTTTTTTTGTTGATTAAAATACCCTTACTATTCACATAAAAAAAGACCAAATTAGATCAAATTTTGAGCCTTCACAAAGATGAGGACGATAAATAATGCTCATAAGGGTATTTATGTCAAATATTTTTTTATCTTGCTATCTTTTATCTTTTTGACTAAATGTTATCAAATATCAGATAAATACTATACAATCTAAATAAAATTGTTAATCTTATCCTATTCAATTATACCTATTTTTCTAAGCAAACACAGCCATAATTGTACTCATAAAGTAAGATAGATGGGAGATGACAAGTATAGGTTATGTTTTATTTAAATTATTTTTATTTTATTTCTAATACTTTTAAAATGCTAAAATCATATAAATTTTTTTTTTCTTTTTCTTTCTTTTTATATAACTTGATAAATGTAGATAATTATTAATACATTTCCCTTTTCATTTAAACTATAATAAATTAAGAAAGCGTTTGATAGATTGAATAAAAATATCTTATGCATTATATCATCAAGATAATTATCTAATAGAATTTAAATAAACTATATTGAAAATTGAGATGTGTAAAATAATTTTATGCAATTCTTATTCCGCTTATTTGAATAATATTACTCTTACTATTTATGCGTTAAATTACTAATATAGACATGGTTACCGCTATCGATCATCGCCCATCACCGACATGAACTACCATTAGTTGTAGACTACGGCCTTTCGTTGCCGATTGTTACACAACTACTCACCACCATTTATTGCCACCCACCATTGTCCATTTTGTCACCAATAATTAAAAGTTTATTTTGATAATTTTTATTTTATGTAATATTTTATACAAATTTAAATTATAATTTATTAAATAAAATATAATTATTCAAAACAGCGTGTAATCATAACATTTTAACAAAAATCTATCCTACCTAACTTTTGTCTATCTAACTTATTGAAAGAACCGTAACTTATAAATTTTTAGACGTCAAACATGTACGCATATATATAAATAAATAAATTAAGAAAAAAAAGTCAGGTGTTAGATGGGAAAGGTCGCTGTAAATTCTTCAATTTTTACCGCAGGTTGAAAAAGTATTGATACTAGCTAATGAAGAAGAAATGCAAAAGTGAGAAAGGTAGATGAGGAAATAACAGAAAAGGAAATACAAAAAGGGCCAAGAAAACCACGATTTTGTTTCAGGTTCTGGTTTCTGGTTTTTGGTCCCTGGTTTCTTGTATTAACAAAGAATAGTTAAGGGTTGAAGTGGAAATTTGCCTGGGATTGGGAACATTGAACACTGACAACTCGTTTCAGGATTGGGTTCATTGCATGTACCCCTCCTCTCGCCCCCTCATGATCATTGAAAAATATAATAAACTCGTAAATAAATCAAAATTATTGATCCACTTGACCATAAAAAGATAAGACCTACCGTGTACACGTTTATTGCAACGTCCCTTCCCCTCCCCTTTCCCCCTCTCCCCTTCGCCCTCTTTTTGCCCTATGAACTAGGGTTTCGGACGACCTCTTGCTTCCCAATCCTCTGATGCATTCAACTCTTCTAGTCCTATACCACGTCTGCACCGTTTTTTGTTTCTTGGATCTGCTCTTTTTTGCTCTCAGTCGAGAGTTTTCAGGACTTGAAACGTCTAGATTCGTCCTCCCAGGGGTTTTCCAGCTGTATCCATGTCGCAACTCTTCGATTTCGGTGGTAAGTCTCCGATCTGCTTAAATTTTTTCATGTCTTATCCTTTGCTTTAGCTTGAACTGTGATATAGTATGGACATAAGTAGAATTATGTCAGGAGGTGTACATACTATGTCTTGGTATCCATGTTTAGTTCAAAATTTTGATTGCTTGAATCAATTTACGATATGATTTTTAAAACTAATATTTAGACGCAAAAGAAATGGCGAAGAAAATTAAATAAAAGTTAAGAATGAAAATTTCTTATTCTATTTTAGTGGATTTGGAAGATGAGATGAAAAAAAATTGAATATATAGGAAAAGTTGGAGGTCTTGTATGATTACCAATTTTCCTGTATTCATTTCCCTTAACAAATCTTGGTTCCAAACTCCAAACTTGGGTTTAACATTGTCCATGATTTTGTTTCACTCGCAGCTTACTCTGTTGAGATTTCAGAAGTTTGGGGTTTGATTATAAATATCTCAAAATACAACTGATGCTTTATTAAAAACCATTACCTTGGTTTCATTCATAAGAATTTTGTTCATTCCTTTTGATTGCTGTTTTCAGTTAGTAAGATGCGATAACACTATGTTAATTATAAAGTTTGAAGATTTTTAGTTTTTGGTAGCTGTTAATTGAAAGTCATTTCTACGGAATTATGGATGGATGGGTTTATTCTGGTTGTGTGAGTATTTAAAGATGTTTCTTCTTTATTTTCTGGGTTTCTACGAAGTGCTAATTATAATCTTGAAGTACTCTATACCGTCAGTGCATTCAAACATCATATGTTTTGAATTGAATAGTGAAGGCATGTAGTGGTTATGATATTTTAGTATATGATATTCAGTTATGTAGGAAAGATTAACTGCAAAAACTTATAGGGGCTGTGATTTTGCAATACAGGACCAAGATCTGTATTTTATTTGTAGCTGCCTGTGGGCTATTCGTTTATGTTGCTGAATTTTTTATTTTTATTTTTTTGTATATTGAAAAATCATATTATGTGCAGAGTTTGATTGTGTTTAACTAGTTCAAATTCATCAGCTGTTACATAATTTTCCAGCTCTAAATTGATTTCTCATATTATGGCTTCCAGGAGATGGTAATTTTTTCTCTGGGGGGTCTATATACCCAAACCCAAAGGAATCAAGTCCCTTTTTGTCCCTTGGACATCATGTGGATGTCTATTTTCCTTCTCGCAAGAGGTCTCGAATCAGTGCCCCATTTGTATTCAGTGGAGAAATTTTTGAGGAGAAGCAGTCTGCCTCTATTGATGTGCTTCCTGATGAATGCCTTTTTGAGGTCTTCAGGCGCCTTAAGGGAGGTGAAGAGAGAAGCATCTGTGCATGTGTTTCCAAACGCTGGCTTATGCTTCTCAGCAGCATCCGAGGTGAGGAAATATGTACCAAGAAAGAAACTCGATCCCCAGAGACTCAAGATGAATTGAACTCCAGCAAGGCTGATGAGCTTGTGGAATGCAATGAAAAGGCTGGAGTTCTAGGTTTTAGCAGTAATAAAGATGAAGTTAATGCTGACAGTGAGGAGATAGAGAGTGTTGGGTACCTTTCCAGCTGTTTGGAAGGGAAGAAAGCTACTGATGTTAGGCTTGCAGCCATTGCTATTGGAACTGGTCATCGTGGCGGATTAGGCAAGCTTTCTATTCATGGAAACAATTCTACACGTGGTGTGACAAAGACTGGTCTTAGAGCAATTGCACGTTGCTGCCCATCATTAAGGGTGCTTTCTATGTGGAATGTGGCATCTGTTGGGGATGAAGGATTATATGAGATTGCCAATGAATGTCACATGCTGGAAAAGCTTGACCTTTGCCACTGCCCTGCAATTTCTGACAAGGGGTTGCTTGCAATTGCTAAGAATTGCCCCCGTCTGAACTCTCTAACAATAGAGTCTTGTTCAAATATTGGTAACACTGGTCTGCAAGCTGTTGGTAGTTTCTGCCCCAACCTGAAGTCTGTTACCATCAAAAACTGCCCCCTAGTTGGAGATCAGGGGATTGCAAGCCTCTTGTCATCAGCTACTTATTCTCTGACGAAGTTGAAGCTTCAAGCTTTGAATATAGGCGATGTATCTCTTGCAGTTGTTGGACATTATGGAAAGGAACTGACTGATCTAGCGTTCACTGGCCTTGAAAATGTGAGTGAAAAGGGCTTCTGGGTAATGGGCAGTGGTCAGGGTTTGCAGAAATTGAAGTCCTTTGCAGTTAGCAGTTGTCGAGGACTGACTGATGTGGGGCTTGAAGCCATGGCTAAAGGCTGCCCAAATCTGAAGCAGTTTTGCCTTCGTAGATGTTCAGTCTTATCAGACATTGGATTAGTATCTTTTGCTAAGGCTGCTGTATCACTTGAGAGCCTACAGTTAGAGGATTGCTACAAGATTACCCAACGTGGATTTTTTAATGTGCTTGTGACATGTTGCAGCAAATTGAAGTCTATTGCATTGGCAAACTGTTTGGGTTTTCGGGATCTAGCCTTCAGATGGCCTTCAGTTGCATGTTGCACTTCCCTGCGATCACTATCCATCCGCAACTGTCCTGGATTTGGAAATTTTAGCTTGTCTATGCTGGGTAGATTATGCCCTAACTTGCTGCATGTAGAACTCAATGGGCTACCTGGAATAACAGATGAGGGCCTTCTCCCTCTTATTGAGAACTGTAAGGCTGGCCTGTCTAAGGTTAATCTTAGCAGTTGTGTGAACCTGACAGATAAGGTGGTCTCAGCCATTGCTAATTTGCATGGGATCACTCTTGAGCAGCTGAATCTTGTTGGTTGCAAATATGTCACTGATGCCAGCTTGGCAGCAATAGCAAAGAACTGTTCATTGCTAAGTGATCTTGATGTTTCTAAATGCACCATTACTGATTCCGGCCTCATGGCCTTAGCTTGTGCAACACAGCTCCATTTGCAGATCTTTTCTCTGTCTGGCTGTTCTCTTATCTCAGAGAAGAGTGTGCCTTCTTTGCTGAAGTTGGGCCGGACTCTTGTGGGCTTGAACATCCAGAACTGCAATGCAATAAGCAGCAGGATGATTGACCTGCTTTTGGAGCGCCTGTGGCGATGTGACATCCTCTTGTAATAAACAGGGAGTGGAGTTGAAAGTGCCCATTCTGGCCTTGTTATGACAGGATGAAGTGAAGGGGTGTAACATATTAGGGTGATCGAGCTAGTTTGACTTCATGGGTAGCATTATTAGGCAGTTTTTGGGTCCATCAGCTGTGGGTCTTACGTAGTCTACTTGCCAGTGACCTGGTTAATCATTTTTCCAGGGTGTATGGCCTCACCCTCTTTTTTTGCAGCTTACCTTATGTAAGGTAGCTGTTTGAAGAATTTTGGCCCCCATGTCTGATGGGTTGCTGCATTCTTCAGGACCATACTTCTCTGAGAATATTTCTCTAGGTTCTGGCTCTAGAAATTATTTTTCATTGTTTTTGGTTGGTGTAGGCAGTTAGTGTTTTAGCGTAGCCAGGCATTACCATTTGCTTAGGCTAAGCTTTCTATCAGCCTTGCGCCTTGTGGAGTCTCGAGTCTTGTGGGCTATTAGTTTTCCCGAGTCTTGCATGTTTTTGAAATCTTCGTGTTCTGCACGGGATGTTTAGATCTCTATTCTCCCGTTGGGAATTTGTTGGGAATTTCTTGCGTCTGGTAGTATGCAGTTGCTTTTGGCAGTTCAGAGCTTGTGTGGCCTTGTATTCATGGGGTTTGGTCGTGGCAGCAGGTTCTTTCAGTTTGCCATGACAATCTTCTTCCTCTGGGGAAGGTTGTTTTTTCCTTAAGCCCTAGTTTTTGCTGGCTTCGCCCGTTTGTGAACTGTGTCGTGCAACTTATCATGTAATGAAAACATGGTTTATTTCCTGTATCCGTTGTGTTTATGTAATGATATTTAAATAAAAGTTTGCTACCGTTTGTATTACATTATGTGTTCTGCTTCTAATTAATGTTTTGGCTCTGTATTTGGTATCCTTCCGCTTGCTAATGCGCTGCTTGGAAAACTTGCTCGTTTCTGTGGAGGTCCATTTCTCATTTGGGTATTATATGTAGCTCTAGTTTGCGGTTGCCCTAAAATTTGGATAAATGCACCTTTTAATGTTTTTCCTTTTTTCAGTGTTACACGACCAGTAGGGGATGGGCATATGGTTAGGTTAGATCAGGTTCAGGTAGGTTCCAAGAAGTAACCTGAAACTTAACCTAGCGTGGTGGAGTTTCAGATTTTTGGGATGGTAACCGAACCTCTTTCCTCCTGAACCTAAAATAAATCGTTCAATTTTATTTCAGTTCCAAGTTGAAATGGTAGTAGTTCAAGTGGGGAGAACAAAAGGCTTCCAATAATGGCCTTACTTTTTTTAATTTTATTTTTATAAAAAAGGGACCCTAACAAAACCCACGTTATCTCCGAATGTAATAATGCTGAGATATATCTTCCTAAAATAATTATTAAAAGTAGGTTGTACTATAATAAAAGAGAGAGAGAGAGAGAGAGAGAGAGAGGGAGGGAGAATCTGGAGTGGTCGCAGAAGAAGTATATTTCCAATAAAGTGGACACCTACTTGTTCAAAGACTAATCTCTTGGAGCTTGACTAATCCAGATTCGCTATCAGGATTTTGATGAATTTTGGGTCCCCTCCCAGGTCCCAACAACAATGAAATCCCAAAGAATCCATTAAAGAAGACAGCACTCACATATCCAAATCCAAAGATGCCCTTCAATATCTCTTCAAGTGAAATCAACGCAGTATTCCTCTCCACAGGTTGTAGCACATCTTTTATTACTTGGATTTTAGAAAGAGCTTTGTCTTCCATTTTAAAATTGGGTCCCTGCAAACGTAACGGATTCACCTCAAAGATTGTTTTTGCTCATCCTGACGAGGACTTCGTGCACGGTGGCTTGCTTGTCAGTAGTTTGTTGAGTCGGTCGGGTGCTTGGAAATGACTCATTTTTCCAACATCAGAATCACCACCGTAATATCTCTCCATCTTTTCTTTTCTTTTATTTATTTATATATATATATATATATATATTAAGAACTTTAATGAAATTAATTTCTTAACTTACATTATTCATAGTATTTATAATTTAACAAATATCTATAAAATAACAGTTTTTATTTTTTAAAAAATGATAATTAATTAAAAATTTATCCCTCAATTAATCTGCAAAATAATGGCTTTTATTGTAATAAAAAAAGGATGATAGTCTTCTAAAAATAAACTTGTATTGCAGAGGTCTTTTTTTATCTTAATTGAAATTAATCTTTTATTATCATAAGCGGTATTATTATCATACAAGCGACTATATTAATTCTGTTAGTTAATTTTAATTATGACTATAAATTTAAAAGACAAATTTGTGCATTTTTCACTTTAAGGAAGTGTTACTATTAGGATACTTTAGGGGCCAAAGTGTATTTTACCCTATAAATAAAGAGACATCTATTTGCAAAGACAAATCATGAAACAAAATTGAGAAAAGTGGCATTCTATGTTTTGGTTTTTAAAAAAAAAAAAAATCTTTGATTTTGGCAAAGATCATGAGTTTTCTTCACAAACGTTGACATGAATCAAGTATATGATTTCTCTTCACAAATGAATAGATGAGGAGATCTCTATATGTGAAAAGAAATGATGAAGCAAAATTGAGAGAGAGCATTTTATGTTTGCAAAGAGAAATCTCCGTTTTCGGCAAAGATCATGATTTTTCTTTACCACTGTTAGCGCAAATAGAGAGAGAGAAAGAGAGAGAGTTGAACCCCTTAGTCTTAATATCATCATTCGACTACAGAAGGGAAACGATCAATAATTTTCTTTGCAAATCCTAGTATGAGATCTCTATCTTTGTATTTTTCAAGGATTTGTGCAATTGTCTTCAACCATGTGTTCGAAATTCAATTTTTGGATTTTGAATCTGGCTCATCAACTCTATGCTCATCTGGGAAGTTCTGATTTTATTAGGTTTGTGATCCTAATTTTGGGCTTCTGACAATTTTGAACTATCTTTAGGTGGTATATGTTGTAAGCTTTTGTTGATTTTGTTGCTATATTAATTGCTAAACATTGTGATTTAGGTTTCTTGGTTGTTTTCATGCTTTTGTGTTTGTAATTAGATGGGTGATGTAACGTGTTGCGTTTTTGCTCAAGATCTCTAAACTCCATAGTTATTATGAAACTCTAATTGTGGTTTTCTATCAATTAATGAAATGTTTTGTTTTCCCGGAAAAAGAAAAAGAATTTCCATGCAATTCATTACAAAAGGACTTGGATGTAAACAAAAAGAGGAGTGAATTCATAGTGTGCAGGAGATGAGGATGGTAATTTTACCCATATCAATTAAGTATTTGTAAAATTTATTTGACCGAAAATGAGTGTTCATAATATAAAATAGAAATTGGGACAAGTTGAAAATTTTAACAAATATTTTTTCGAAGACAAGGATGGGGACGAAAATGAGTGTTCATAATATAAAATAGAAATGGGGACAAGTTGAAAATTTTAACAAATATTTTTTCGAAGACAAGGATGGGGACAAGAATGACTATTGTGATATTGTATATATTTATATATCAAAAAAGCAATATATTTAAATAATAAAACTCTACCATGCTATCCTTCTTATCACTAAAACCCTAATCATTTAGATCTTCATGTTTTATTTCTTTTTAATTTAACATGATGTTATTATTATTATTATTAAAAATTATAAGATATGATTTCATTAATATAGGACATATTATTGAAAGAGAACTTTTTTGTAATACTTTTCTTTTTTCTGATTTTCTATTTATTGATTTCATAAATTATAGCAATTTTATTTTCTTACAAAAATTACAGAGAAATTTTAAAAAAATTATATTCATGCGCATATACAAGTTCAAGTACATAGATACTTACAGTACTATTGAGTTCTAGAATGAATATGAGAATAAATTTAATGGCCAATAACATGAAATGATGAAGAGTTGCCCACCCCATACTTTGTCCCATTGCTCTACGAGAAGACACGGCCGTGTCCCAGGAGAGGGGAGCGGTGGAGAAGGTTCATATTTCATATTGTTTGTTCATTTTCCTTTGACAAATATATTGACTTAGCAATCTAGCTTTATTTATTTATTTATTTGTTCGCTCAAATTATGTCAGCATTGGGCACGCACAAGTCAGCATTTGATGACCACACAAACAGATGGATGGAAGAAGTTCCAAGTGTAGGGACTTGATTGGAGAATTGAGAAGTTGAGGGACAACAGTTTAGTGACGAAAACCGCACCAACCCTATTCAAAATGTATCCATATGTGGGCAGTTCTTTTCAAATAAAGAAAAAGCGCACGACATGGGCTCTAAGTAAACGGCCCAAATCTGGGGGTTCATGTTTGCGTATTGAACGTAAGTCCTATGGAAGCCCAGCTTATGCCCAAATTGTTGGCTGATGATGGCCATTGCCGTTGGTGAAGTACTGACAAGGCCCCTCTGTGGTTGCCTTGTGAATCATCCACCATGTTCTTAAGTGAAAAATCAGCAGGGGACGTGTGGGTTGTCTGCCTAATTCACGTCTATGTTTTTGATTAAGAGAAGAAAACTGCCTCTCTTTTTCGTGGATTAGTAAACAAAAGCTGCTCCTCTACCCAAAACCTATTTCACACTATTCAGTGTTGGAGCTTTTTAAGAGTCAGATTTGTTTAATACTATTTTCAAAAATGGTGATTTCTTCTCTTGTAATAAAATAAAATCTATGTCTCACTTTATATATATGTAAATATTATCTCTCTATTAAAAATAAAAAAAAAAGATGCTACTTTTACTAATAGTATCAAGTAAATCAAGTCGATTTTTTTGGTAAGGAAGGTCAGTACAAAATTTTGAAGTCATGAAATCTTAAAATTGGGCATGGGATAGTTTTTCCTTTATTCCCCACCCTCTTGACCATCCCCCCCCAAAAAATATATTGGGTTATACCAATTTACCTTAAACTGAAAAAAATAGTTACAAAATATCCAACCTAAACCATGAAAATAATGACTCTAGCTAAACAATGTTGATGGCCAAGTGAAAGACCTTTTTGCCCTTGGTTGTCAAATTAATTACAAAAC